ACCCTGAGGTGTGTAAGAAATCTTCTTTATTCAGTAAACTATAAAGAATGCCATTGACACATCATATAATGCTTTGGGGTCAAAATATCTCTGTCTCTTCTGAGAGCCTAGTAAAACACTTGTAATTCCACCAGTGAAGTTAAAGCGCCTCTGATTTCAAATAGTACACCAATATTATTTTGTTTTCTGACTATGTAGAATACACACTGATAGCTCTAATGATGAATACAGAAAGGTTTAAGAAGCAATGTGATGTAAAGCAGTTGAAAGTGAGCCATGAGTGAAGTTGTCTACTTTGTAGGTATACCAGGACCTGTGTTGCCCAATTTAGCTTTTAAACCATTACTGTAAAAGTAGCTTAGTGTCGTATGTTTGGAGTCAGGCATACTTGGTACCAAAACTTCACTCTAGTTCTGTGTCTATTCTCTCTGCTCCGTTTTCCAAATTAGTCAAAGATGGTAATACTATCTGCCTCCTAGGTTTAATGATAGCATTTGGGAGGTAATATATGGGAATGGACATGTGCCTACCACACCATGGTAATTACAAAATGGTATTTATGATTATTAAATGGGGCTTATCACTATGTATTAGCAAAGAGAGAATAAAACAAAAATACAGATCCATATCAGATAAAAGAATATATGTAAATACCAAAAATACCCATGAATACAATAATACAGAAGCAGAAAGTATTTTATACTTTATTTATATTCACAAAGTATGTATGTGTGTATGTATTCTTTTTTCAAAGAGTAATTGCATATTTACACTTTATTTTTTATTTTGAAAAATTTTTATATTTTGTTTATTTATTTATTTACTTATTTATTTACTTATTTATTTAAATTCAAGTGAGTTAACATACAGTGTAGTCTTGGCTTCAGGAGTAGAACCCAGTAATTCATCTCTTAGATATGATAGCCAGTGCTCATCCCCAAAATTGCCCTCCTTAATGCCCATCACCCATTTAACCCATCCCCCCACCTATGTCCCCTCCAGCAACCCTCAGTTTGTTCTCTGTGTTTAAGAGTCTCTTATCGTTTGCCTGCCTCTGTGTTTGTATCTTATTTTTCCTTCCCTTCCCTTCCCTTATGTTCATCTGTTGTGTTTCTTAAATTACACATATGAGTGAAGTCATATGATACTTGTTTTACTCTGACTGAATTATTTTGCTTAGCATAATGACATGTAGTTCCAACCATATTGTTGGAGATGGTGAGATTTCATGCTTTTTCATTGCCAAGTAGTATTTAATTGTATTTTTGAAAAATTTTTTTAATGTTTTTATTTATTTTTGAGACAGAGACAGAGCATGAGCAGGGGAAGGGGAAGGGCAGAGAGAGAGGGAGACACAGAATCCGAAGCAGGCTCCAGGCTCTGAGCTGTCAGCACAGAGCCTGACGTGGGTCTTGAACTCACAGACTGTGCGATCGTGACCTGAGCCAAAGTCGGATGCTTAACCAACTGAGCCACCCAGGAGCCCCATGATTGTATTTTTATGCCACATCTTCTTTATGTATTCATCAGTAGATGGACATTTGGGCTCTTTCCATAATTTGGCTATTGTTGATAGTACTGCTATTAACATTGGGGTGAATGTATACCTTTGAATCAGCACTTTGGGATCCTTTGGATAAATACCTAGTAGTGCAATTGTTGGGTCATAAGGTAGCTCTATTTTTAATTTTTTGAGGAACCTCCATACTGTTTTCCAGAGTGGCTGCATCAGTTTGCATTCCCACGAACAGTGCAAAAGGGTTCCCCTTTCTTTGCATCCTTGCCAACATCTGTTGTTTCCTGAGTTGTTAATTTTAGCCATTCTGATAGGTGTGAGGTGGTATCTCATTGTTTATTTAAACTCATAATTATTTAAAGTAACTATTAACTAATAAGATTAAGTAGTAAGCTATTTATGTAATTTGAAGGACCACTCCTCATCCAGCATTTTAAGATAGTATATATTGAACTGATGATACCTGCCATAAAAAAGGCACAAAGTAGACAACCTCCATTTTTTTCTCAAGCTATTGCAAATGAAAAATTACATATTATATTATGATCTAGAATCATTACTCCTAGAAGTTATTTTCTCTTAGAAAATTCATGATAGACAAAGATGAAATAGATTCATACTAATTTAAGAAAGGTTTTTTTTTTTATCTTCATGACGTAGATAAATATGACAGTAAAGAAAAATGAGATACTTCTAGATCAAATTTCAAAGCAATATGTTCAATCCAGATTTATATAGATCACAGAAACTTCCCAATGCACAGTATAAAAGGAATCATCTGATATCCACCTTTCATGAATGCAATTTTTATTTTTAGTGATAGTCATGATGAATAAAACTTCTAGATGTTTTATAGAATGTTTTATACTTTCTATATGTGTGGTTCAGAGTCTAAGACTCATTAGTTAAGAACCAAAAAGCTAAGTAGAGTACTGGGGAAGTAGCTAGAAAGTGCTGTCATGATTCCCAAGACTAATATAAAGAACAAAAATCTGTAAGGAGGTGTTTGGGCATTAAAGATGATTTGCCCACGACTACCATCTATCTCTAATGGTAAATAGTGGATGGGTGGAAACTCATTCTCCCTCCTGGCCTATATCTTTTTCTCCATTTTTCTTTCATATCAATTCTACATACACAATACAAGTTCCATTGCATATTTAAGACGTTTTTTTTTAGTAACATGAATGACATAGTGCATATTCTATAAAATTCATCTGGCATAAAAATAAACTTGAAAGGGGTGGTTTTCTGCTGAAAGCTTCATTTCTTCAGCTGTTTCCTCAGGCTCATTGGCTACCATTATCTGTTCTTTTGTTTAACTTTAGGTCATATATTTCATTTCTCTGAATACCTAGTAAGATTTTATTCTGTGCTGGACATTGTCATTTATACGTTAGAAAGATGCTGGATTTTTATATGGTTTTTAAGCTTGTTAATTTTTGTCCAATAATGCAGTTAAAATACTGGTATTGCCTTGATGTAGAGTTGGCTTTATACTATGTAAGTGCATATATGTTAATGTCCAAGATCATATCTAAGTTCTTCTCACTTGACTGAGCTAAACCTCCAAAACTCTGTCCCCACCTTGACCTCCCAGAATCTTATCTAGGTTTTGATGTAGATATAGTTCAGGTAGGCCGAAAGTAGATTTTATATTAGAGCAGGCCTCAGCAGATATTTTCTAGAATTGATCACATAACAAATACTTCACTCTTTGCAATCTATATGGTCTCCATTGCAGGTACTCAATTCTACCATGGTAGCACAACAGTTCACAATACATAAATAAATAAAGGTGGCTGTGTTCCAATAAAATTTTATTTACAAAAACAGGCAGTGGGCCAGATTTGGGCTTTGGGTTTTAATTTGCCAACCACTGCTCTCGTGCATGGCTGTTCCTTTGTTGCCTATGGTGTGTAAATAAGGCTTATGAATGTGTCTAGAATGCTAACATCCTTCTGCAAGGCTCAATCTCTGATGTGGGTTTTGTTCTGCTCATATAACATTATTTGTGATTAGCCTTGTGTAATATATCACCCTGTGTATGTGCAGCCCATTTCTCAGCCAAGGATTTTCAGGAACACTCCCACAAACTGATTTTTGGAAGTGCTGCCCTTGCTTGCCTCCCTCTATCTCTGCTCCTTTTCCCAGTACACAGTAGGCATTTAATCATCCCCAAACTCTGATCTCTGCCTCCACAGCTCGGTGCAATTACAGTGATCTGCTTGGGCCACAGCCCTTGCAGCTAGGTCAGGAAATTGCCCTGAGGCAAAAAGTCTGGTATAGTGACAGTTCTCACGCAGTGAGTTTTCCATATTTCCTGGTTCACAACCTGACATAGTTAGCTTATAGTTGTTTATGGACAAGGACTAGACCAAGACCAATTACTGTAAGCAGAAGATTGGGATCTTTTATTTTTAAATGACAAAATATAAATATCTAACAAGAATTTAATTAATGAAAAATCAATCTTATTTACTCACGTTAATGAAAATGCAAAGTTCATTTGATTTCATGTGTGGTTTGGTTGAGAAGTTTTCATTCACCAGATCCTATAATACATTTATTTGCTATTTTCTATGCTCTGCTTTCTTCTCTAGGGCAATTTTAGCCTCATGATGTTCTCGTTTTCTAGAAATGAGGCTATTAGAACTTAGACGTAAACATCCTTATACAATATTACCAAGAAAAATTTAAAAAAATATATGCTGTTTATTCACTCTGATAAAGAAGAGAGACTCCTTTCATTCCAGAAGTCACCAGCATATATCTTCTTGTCTTTGACATGCTGTTAATTAGATGCTCAGGCTGTCATAACAAAAGACTGCCATAACATAAGCCACAGACTGGGTGGCTTAAACAACAGAAATTTATTTTCTCACCATTCTGAGGGCAAGAAATGTGAGACTAAGGTGCTGGCAGATTTGTTTTCTTGTGAGGGCTCTCCCTGGCTTGCAGAGAGTGCCGTCTCACTGTGTCTTCACATGGCCTTTACTCCAGGTGAGCATGGAGAGAGATAGGTCTCTGGTGTCTCTTCTTCTTATCAGGACATCAGTCATACGGGATTAGAGTCACCCCTTTATGACCTCATCTCACCTTTTTTACCTCTGTAAAAGGCTTGTCTCCAAATCCAACCACGTGGTGGGAGGAGGTAGAGTTTCAACATATGAATTTTAGGGAAATAAAATTCAGTCCAGAACAACTAGAAACATAACTGATTTATTTCAGAGTATTTTCAGGGACTTGAACTGGAACTCAGCAACTAGATGTGTTGGTCCAGTAAAGAATTTAGTGTGTATTAATCCAGAACAAACCATTTTCTGAAGCTTAACCACATATAATACAAAACTTTTAACCTGAGTTCTAAATAGATTTCACAAGGTATTTTTTTTTTATTCTTTGCAATGAATGAAAGATGCTTAAAGTAAAAAGGGACATTATAGAATTTACTTAAAAAGATTTGCTTTTTTTCATTTTACAGGCCCAACAACTTACTGATCTGGAACGAAAATTAGCTGTGGCCAAAATTGAGCTGGAGAAAGCAGCTCTTGACCGGGTAAGTTTACATCCATGAATCATTACAACTTCAGTTTTAGCAGCAAAACTAGGGTATACCTATTGCTTCACTTGATTTATTAATGCAGTTCCAGATGCCATGCTTGGAAGATGGTTATAGAATTCATGAGTACTTGATATTCTCCTGGGAACCCAATTCTTTCCTTGTTTTTGCTGCTACAGTAAACTGACTCAAGGTTCAGCCTTGTGAGTTCATGGCTTCATTTTCCACCTTACTGGTACATTTGTTCTATAATACTACGAATAAACATGCTTGAAAGCACCAACAAAGATGCCATGCATTAACTCTGGTTGAATGAGTTATGAAACAAATGGAAGTAGTCATTGACACTTTTTATTTTGGAAATTTTAAATCAGAGTTCTGGAGGTAGAGTCATGAATCAGGAAGGTAGCTGTCCTAAACAAATCTGTCCCAACCAAGATAATGAAAGTGTGGGTGACTGTCCATCTTTAGGACAGCTTTTCTTAAACATAATTCATTGCCATGACACTTGCATTTTTAAAGTTCACAAAGTTGTGCTGCCATCACCACTAATTCCAAAAGATTTTCTTCACCTCTTTTCACCCTACCTATTTCATTTTGGTTTTATTAATCTTTCATTGTGTTACGATTATGTGTTGCCAATAAACCACAACTCCAATATGATGTCTACCTGTGCTTTTCAGTACTCTTCATATGAGAGATACATGGAGACTAGGCCATTGGCATATGGAGAGGGAAACGTAGAGGAATAAATTGATTCTATAATTCAGAATTATGGTATCTGGCAACATTTCTTAATGCCTCTCTTTTTTTCACTTTTAAATCAAGTTTATAAAATTATGGTAAGTAAATATTCCTTTATTCTATAATTCATTCAGAACAAAAGAGTAGAGTTATTTTAAAATAATCTCTTTGTTTCCTCACACCCATTTATCAAATACCCAATGCAATTTTCTGTAATACTTAGGTCATATATCTAGCACATGTTAATATAGGAAACTCTGAATCTGAGAAATCAGTCATAGCATTTTAGACTTAAGGAGACAAGCACCACATTATTCTCCATCAAAATCTTGGAAAGTAACAGGGCTATCCAAGAGTAATCTGCATTTTACTAGGCCTTCAACATATCCCCCTGAGATCAGTTCTTGATTGGATTGGAATTATCAGCCATCATTCTGTCTAACATTGGAAAGGTAGACCCTTTCTTGTGGAAGATATCATCTGGGGAATTTTTGGTTCATTTATACACAGTGTTTGACATGTAGTGAAAGCATTCTAGACATGTGGAGAGGGAATACAATCTGATCAGTATACAAAAAGAAAACAAGGAAAGCGTAACTGGAACTGATTCAGAGACTGAAATGAGAAAACAAAAATTTTACAAAGATGATGTGTGTGTGTCACAATAGTGGAAAGTAATCAAAACAGAAAAAAAAAGATAAAATATTTCACTAGACTCAGAATCTATAAAAAATCAGGTAGATATTCTAGAATTAGAACAATATAATGCACATAATTAAGACTTTAATGCTGCTCAGTAGAAGATTGGATGATTGGACATAATAGAACTGAAGACAAGTAAAATGTAAGGACAGTTAGTGTCCAATACCTTTACTAACATAGAGAAGGTACAGATAAGTGGAAAGCAAATAGAAAGAGAATAAGAAATGTATATCAATTAAAAAAAAAATTAAAGTATTTATAACTGTTGTCCAAGAAAGAATGACAAACAGAAGCAATATTTGTAGGGATAATGACTTAAAAATTTTCCACATGGAAAATTATAGATCAGTCCAAGAGACAGATGTCACAATCCTAAATCAATATGTAAACAGCAATATTCCTTTAAATTGTGTATAAATTTTTAAAAGTACACTTAAGACCCATGCACTTTTTTCATTATCTTCTATATTTCACTGCAATTAATTAACAAAAGGTACTTAACTTCAGAAAATTTTAAATGTGAATAAAAACAATGAGATGTCATCTCAACACCATCAAATTGGTAAAAATTAAAAAGCCTGATAATACCAAATTCTGATACACTAGTGGTGGGAGTATAATTATTAAATCAGTGTAAATGTATGTATCCTAGAATTTGCACTATCCCTATGTGCTTGGAAACATGCATAAAACATTGAATACAATAATGTTGGCATTAATAGCAAATTGACATAATTTAAATGTTTACTGTTAGAATTAGCATATACATTTTATATATTTTCCATACTTACATTTTCAAATAGTAATCAAAACTTAATATTAATGAATAAATATAAAGACATTTATATCAATATTTATACATCTGTAACATATACTGTTGAGTAAAAATATTCAGAATTATATATATAGTATTCAACAATTGTTCAAATGCACAAATCACATTTTGTTTTGATTGTATATCAGATAAATAGCTGAAGTAGAAAAATACATATCAAATTCAAGGACCCAATTGCCTTGGGGAAAGATGGAGTAAAATAACACTAAGAATGCTTTAAAATACTTCTACTAATAATTGTATAAATTCTCTAGTAATTGTATAGACACAGATAAATAGTCTTTAATTCATATACACACATGTGTATTGTACATATTATATACATGCATCATGTTGTATATGCATTGTATATATACGTTAGATACATATAATACATGCCATGCGTGTGTGTATATTACCAATATGTATATGCATGTTTCATATGTATTTTATAAAATTATAATAAATACCATATGTGACAAATATATATAATAAACATGATGCTTTTTAACATTTAATTCAGATTGATATTTTCCTGATATTTGTTATATTGTTCTCTATATACCCCTGTATTTTTGAAAATAAGTTACATTAAAAAATAAAGAAAGTGTGCTATCTCCTGTCAAGAGCTTTCCATTTTGGAGATCACAGCATAGCAACCATTTTATTTTAAAAAATAAACAAGTAAGATGATTATAGACTTGCTTTGAAATAATACACTGTATACATTTAGCAGTTTTCTAAGGAAAAGAGGTTGCCTTCTAGCCACCAAGTTAAACTATGGGTGTTTTGATACAGGATAGAGTAGATGGACTATTTCAGGCAGATTCATTGTAGAGTTCTTAAGGTATCTCCCTTCTATGCAGTAGCTGTGAAGAACCAGGCTAAAATTCTACTTCCCAGGTACTTGGGTCTCACGTAGGCATTACCACATATGGCCAAAAACAATTACATAGCTAACATAGCTAACTTTTCAAACAGGATATCCAGAAGGTATTATACTAACAAATTAGTAAGGGCATTTTGTGAATTCTAATGATATTGCTTCTTAAGGTTTAGATCTTTGACAATGAGGCTTTTGAATGAACAACTAGATATTGTAACAACTCCATTCCTTTGTGATTGTCTTATTTTGTGTTTTTCCGAGTATTTAAAATAATATTTAGTAGTTTTGAGGAAGCCTGCATGCTATTTTGTAAGTGAGGTCAAGTATAATTCATGTTACCAAGATTCCAGCTTTATAAGATTGTTTTTTAATTTATGAAAAAAGAAGTTTATACTAATTTATGTTAATGTATGTTGACTATATCCAACTCATGCTATAAAATACTACTTTTTAAAAAGGGAAAAAAGTCTTTACAGAGTTGAGAGAATCAGAAAATCAGAATACATATGATCCTAAAATTCAACTAGACAATTAAAAAAAAATTTTTTTAATCCTTTCTCTGGACATCCCTGCCACAATCTCTGTAACATGCTTTATGTCCTGGGAAGACACTGGATTCCTATGACCCTGAGCCAGTCCAGCCTCCTCTAAGTTTTTAACAATTCTGTTAGAATGTTCTCCCTTACGTTAAATCTTTTCCCTGGTTTGACTTCAAATAATCCACTTAGTCAGGTTTGAAATGGCTACATAGGTTTGACATGCCAGTCCTGTGACTACCATGCAGTAGGATGTATGGGAAACTGAAAACATGTATGAATCATGGTCTGGGATTCCACACCTCTCACATTTCATTGGGCACCAAAAATTAGGAAATAATTGTTTGCAGAGCTAGGAGGTCTCCAAAGCACAGAGAATGAATATTTTAAGTACTTGTGGGTTGTATAAACTGGTATGGTCACATCATACTTCATGGGCAAATTATAATTTGGCCTTAGTCACAGAACCCCAGGTTAACGTAGTTTTTGTGGTTTTTTTTTTCCCACCTTTGTCTTATCCATTCTATGCTTTTCTCCACCCCATCTCTATCCATTCCCCTTAGGTGTGCCTAGCTCACACCGTGCCACAGTCTGGATTCAGCAGGAGAGGCTTGATATTGCAGTATTTATATAAAGGTCTCCAGAATCAGTCTACCTGTGTTCAAATCATAACTCTTCCACTGAATGACCATGTTCAAATTCCTCAAACTCCTTATGCTTCACTGCAAAATGGAATAATAGTAAAACTTACTTTATAAGGGTAGTGACAAAACCATATGCATCCAACAAAAAAAAAAAAAAAAGTACTGAGAACTTTTGGCATATGGAAAACCCTCAGTGAGCATAGTAATTATTAATATGAGTGAGTGAGATCATAGACACTGCCTCTCTGTGGTGACAGGTTTTTCTCTGTAACCTTCAGGATCTTGTCACTGTTTTTGCTACAGTAAACTATAAATGCATTTTGTATTACTGGAGGTCGGTTTCAACAAATCTCTTGTACCGTATGTATGAGGCTCATAAACTGCAGTCATAAAGGCCGGTGGAAATGCTAGCTCACTTCAAAATGGATAAAAAGTACAGTTTAATGAAATTGCTCTCCACCTCTCTCCATCATCTTTATATGAGACTTTTTTTTTACTCCCTTCAGTTGCCTAGCACTCAAGAATGTTATATCTGGGCTTCAAATAACCTTAAATACCTCATAAATATTATCAAAACACCTTCACACTCTAATGTGGTTCCCACGACATGTTTAATAAAAGAAGTTTCAGTTTACTATCCCAATATACACAATAATAATCTCAAGATCTAAGAATCAACCTTGGTTTTGCAAACAATTATTTATTTGGCAATATCTTATGAATTATCGTTAGCCTCAGCTACTGGCCTGTAAAAAAATAAAAGCTTTATGGTATGGAAATCTATCTCTCAAACTTTCCTATTAAAAAAAAGTTTCCCTTGCGTTGGACCCTCACAAAATTTTGCCCAGGAAAGCATACTCTATTACATTCATAGCAAAGATGATGCACGTTAGGCAATCTTCAGAGATTCCCAGGACTAAGTAGGAAAAGAAGAGCAAGTCCTCTTGCCATATGTGTCTGACGCATAGCAGGAGCATAATAGGTCGTTATTGAGTAACTAGATAAATGAAGATACAATGTCGTAAATTAATGAACAAGCTATTTATCTCTCCACCTAGAGCAGAGAATCAAAACGGTCAAAATGGCCTTACAGGATTCATAGAGTTGATTTCATGGCAGAAATAAAAGTTAAGGCGAGAACATTTGGATTCACAGCCCTTCGTAGTCTTTGCAAAGCCAGCAGTCTATATTGCACCCAGATATCTCTGAGGACCTCACACCTTAATGTAAATGAATTAAGAGGGGCATGAATAATGTCTTGTGAATTTCTGTCTATTAGGAAGTGAGAAATTAGAGGCACAGTTGTCCTTGCAAGGTATATCTTGTTCCCAGGAAAAAAAGCGCATTTTTCTGAGAAGAGTCCTCCTATAGACACACACGAAATTGCCTTCTAAATCTCCCACCATGTTAAGATCATCTGTGTACACAATAATTTCTTATCAGCTTCACATACTATATAGCACAAGCTTTAATGTCCAAAAGAATACTTTCTTTATACAATATACAGGATAAAATGAGAAATATTTCATATTTTCTCATGTAAAACAGCACCAGCCTATATCCTCTGGAGGGTTTGCCTTATTTACTAAATGAGCAAACATTTGTTGAGTTAGAAACTGGGATGCTTTACTGGCCATCAATGAAATTAAATTATAATGGATATAGATAAAACACTAACCATATAAACAATAAGGTAGTCTGCAATGACAACAAGGCTCCATAGGACTTAATGTAAGAAATGTGTCAGAGACTTTAAGGAAGGGGTATTCAGGGACTGTGTTTCCAAGAAGATAAGATGTGAACTGAGAGAGAAATTTTAAGTGGAAGTTTTCTCGTAGATATTTGGAAAAGCGGTTGTGTAGGCACAAGAAACAGCAAGTGTAAAGGCTCTAGGATACAAATTCGTTTGGAATCTTTGATGGGCTATAAATAAAAGGCGTTGTGGCAATCAGGTTTTTTTTAAGAAGTTTGCCTTTTACTATCATGTGGCAAAACAAAGTGGGAAGAGGGGTCTGGTGCAATGAGAAGAAAAGCAGGGCGAAAACAAGACTGCCCTTAGGAGGGAATAGGTTGTAAGATCCTGGGCAAAATATACTTTATACAGTTTACATCGTATTTCATTAGGTGACATACTGTTAAGGTGAACTTCAAAATGAACAGTAGCCTTCAATTTCAAAACAGACTGCATCCAGCAGTATAAATGAAAATATAATGATGTTGTGGTATAAAATCATTTTCTGAGTCCTGCTCATGGAACTGGGTCAAGGCCAAACCCTGTGTAGTATCCTTAACAGTCTCTCTTAAGTCAGAGAAACTAACTAGGAAGATGTTTTTATGGTAGACAGCTGAGCAAATGAGGACAGGGTGGCTCACAGCCCACTGGGGTGTCTGGCAGGAAAAATCTACAGTGTAATCAAGGAGCAGAGACAGAATCTAAGGTAGCAGGTCAAGTTCTTATGGTTCAAAAAAGAAACAAAATCAGGAGGTAAGAGGTTAGGAATCGGTTGAAACAGAAGAGCAAAGATAGTCCTACTACCGTGGCCATGAAAGGTGGTGAGCTGGAGGTTGTGTCATTGTGATGTTGATTCTGTCACGTCAGGAGACCTATGCAAACAGATGAGATTCTCACACCAAGTTCGGATCATTAAAAATATAACATATATGTACCTCTCCCCCCACCCCGTATTGTTCTAGTGGAAATTTTATCTTGCCTGAACAGCATTTGCTGGAAATTGATGTTCTAAGCTATTAACCTGATGCAGTTTATTATATAATTTCAGCATCCAAGTTCAGCCATTACTCAGAAATTAGTTTGCTGTGATGAAGTATACCTTAGGCCTGTTATAGATCCAACTTTTTTTTTTTTTTTTTTAATTTTTTTTCAACGTTTATTTATTTTTGGGACAGAGAGAGACAGAGCATGAACGGGGGAGGGGCAGAGAGAGAGGGAGACACAGAATTGGAAACAGGCTCCAGGCTCTGAGCCATCAGCCCAGAGCCCGACGCGGGGCTCGAACTCACGGACCGCGAGATCGTGACCTGGCTGAAGTCGGGCGCTTAACCGACTGCGCCACCCAGGCGCCCCTAGATCCAACTTTTATATACATAGTGTATTTAGAGGGTCCAAGGTATGAATGCAGTGAATAAAATAACCATCATTCCTTCCTGCATGATCTGAGGTGATTGAAAGTCTACATTTCAGAGGCTCATTAACCTTGAGTCTGGGCCCAAACCTGCTGACTCTGTCATATTAGCTCTATTTCCATTGTCTTGCTATAATATGTGAGACAGAAAACATATGTAAATTATTAAGTACTACCTGGAATATTTCACTTCTGACACAACACACAATGCCATCATCTTCTAGTCCATATTGACGGAAAAAAAGAGTCAGCCGAGATTATAACAAAGCACCAGTAGGGAGAGAAATTTGAACGATTATTTCATTTTTTTTTTTCATTGAGATAGCTTGTCACTCTCCTTCCTTGACATAGAGAAACAACACTTTCACTTAAGTGTTTAAGTCGTTTATTCAAAACACTTTCTGGCGAGCCCCTTCTAATGTGTCAAGGATCATGATAAGTGCTAAATACACAGTTTTGAACAAAATAGTCAATTTATACGTGTGTGTGTATATATATATATATATATATATACATGCATAAAAATTAAAAATTAGAGATAAATTATATGAAGAAGACAAATACATGATAGAATAGAAAGGAGAAAGGAAAGAAAGTAATGGGGTGGAAGAAGGACAGGAAGTTAGGGGCTCAGGCGAGCAGACAAAAGGGACCATTTTGAGGAAAAAGGTCATCATTCAACTTAGCCATGTCCTGTCCACTTAACAACATTCCTCCATCCTAGTTCTTATCAGATTTTTATGCTGTCTTAGGTAACTTGTCAGGGAAATATTAATGAGAAGAAAATACACATTGGTTCTGTTTCTTATATATTTCCAAGTTGCTGCTCTTCTTGCTGCTTTGTTTTGTTTTTAATCTCTTGCTATCACAAAATAGATGTCTTAACTGATGTTCTAGCAAGACATTCTTTCTCGTCTTCAAAAAAAATCTTGTCATGTACCACAGAAGAGTAGGAAGCTCAGAGGGAGACCTTGGGAAGGATCTACACCATAGAACAGGAAAGAGGAGCAGATGCTACATGGAGGTGTATTCCTGGCATAGTGTATAAAAGACAGTAGATTTTTGAGGAGTATGCTACCTTACCGGGAAGACAACAGACTTCGCCATTCCACTGATCCGTGCATACACTGCATGTGCCGTCTCCACATGTGCCAGCTTGTCCAGGGATCTTGACCCCAGTAACTCATCTCTTCATCTCTCTTGCCCCAAACACCACATCTCATGTGTTGAGACGGATGATTATGTAACATATTCCTATTTGGGCCTACATCCATACCCAAAATTATTCCTGAGTTACCATAAGATTTCTAAAAGTTGTAGGTCTCTATTTTGGCTCTGGGTGTGGGGTCGGGGGGGGGGGTGGGTCTCTCTGTGATTTGTACTCAGCTTTATATAATTATTATTTTTTTACTCTATCAACTTTTAAAAATATTTTTAGCAGTGGAATCTGGTGGTAAGATGGGAGTTACAGATAGTTGTCTACATTAGTTCGGTCTGCCTTGTGATACAAACCAGAAAAAAAAAAAAAAGTCTGAAAACCTTGAGCTTTCATTTCTTTAATTAAAATAATAATAATGATACCAGTTTCACAGTTGTTAGAAAACATAAACTTATTTCTCGCATGTGAAAGAGTTTGAAATACTGTGATATCCTATGCAAATATAAGAAAGTGTAAATTTTATAATTTACAATCACATCAGAGTAACAAGGCCCACTTAACAAGGCCCATAGGAAGTAAGAGTTTTATTAGAAACAAAATTTGTTTTCTCCAATATGTGGAGAAATTGAGTGGTGCTGCAGGCTAATCCGAGAAACACAGGGGCCTACATTGCCCCTGTGAATAATTTGTAGTAAAAGAGATTAATATTAATAGAAAGATGGCAGGTTTCTAAGGACGTTTTCTACTTGAAGATGACCCTAGCATACATTGCCTTGCCAGCAAACTATCACTATTGAAATCATATCCATTCAAGTAACATGTCTCTCAGTTTCAGTGTTCAAAATATATCATGAGACACAGCTCCTAAAAACAGACTGTGTGTGCATTAAACAGCATGTCATAGCGGAATTTAGAAGTTAAGCAATTACATTTGAAAATTGGTAGGCATTTGTGTGGGGAATGAGTGTAGGCTAGGAGGACAGGGAGAATCAAATCAAATAAAATCGAGGACCACCAGAACCACATGTTAACAGTTGTCATCTCTCTCGTTTTTTCCATAGGACTCACAGCTGAAAGCAATGAAAGAGACCGTCCATCTCTGCCTGTCGACTGTGTTCCGTAATCAACCGCCTCCCCCTTTGAGTCTAGCCAGGACAAATCCAACTCAGATGTCAGTTCCCCCTGGGACAATTGACAGTATGATTCCTGATGCAAGGACAAAAATCAAGGTACGCTTTAGTCGTGCTCTGAAAGTATAATCAAATAATACACTGTCTTTATATTTTATTCTATGTGATCAGCAGAGTGGATCCAAGTAAAGTATCAAATTCACTGAACGATTAGGAAGTAAGTAGAAGTTACTAACCCTTTGTAATGTCTTTGTGGTCACTTGGAGAACATTGGAAGACATCATTTTTTTCTAGACAGCCAGTTGTTCTTTAGGCAAGATTACGTAACTGTAAAATAATCGTCATTATTATTCTAAAATCTAAAATGATTTTAAAATAATATTTTAAGAGCATTTTATTTATAATAACTATAATCGCTTAGTATTATAATTTAGTACATTTCTCATTATACAATTTAATTTTATGTTACTTAATAATATCTTAATGATGATAATTATTTTATAATTTAAAATCTCCTTTTTTAAAGGTCTATTTATTTATTTTGAGAGAGTACATGAGCAGGGGAGGGACAGAGAGAGAGGGAGAGGGAGAATCCCAAACAGACTCCCAACATGAGACTCAGTCCCACAAACCATGAGATCACCTGAACTGAAATCAAGAGTCAGACGCTTGGGGTGCCTGAGTGGCTAAGTCGGCTGAGCATCTGACTTCGACTCAGGTCGTCTCAAAGTCTGTGAGTTTGAGCCCCACGTTGGACTCTGAGAGTTCAGAGCCTAGAGCCTGCCTCAGATTCATTGTCTCCCTCTCTCTCTCTGACCCTCCCCTGATCACTGTCTCTCAAAAAATTAAATAAACCTTAAAAAAAATTAAAAATAAAGTTGGACGCTTAACTGACTGAGCCACCCAGGCACCCAAAGAAAACATCTTATATCACATACCAGTATGCACCAGAAGCTTAATATGGAAAATACTTTCTCTTGGGCATAACCATTATCATTCCAAAAGTAGATCGTTTTTAAAAAAATTAAGTCCATAGTTTTCAATGCTTCCTACAGGTGAGACTCACTTGAGATACTTGTAACAAAATCCTCACCCTTGGGGCTCCCCCCAAACCCATTAAATTATTTCTGGTTGGGCTCTACTCATCAGTAGCTTCTAAAAGCTCCCCAGGAGATTTTGCGAACAATTGAGTTAAGCAGAGCTTCCTCCAACTCTGCACCACCACACTCCCTTGACAGGGCAGGGGGCATTTGTTGCTTTTTGTTTCAGTTGTCAGAACCTCCTATTTACAGGCTCCCACTTAAATAAATCCTGACAATCTGAAAGAGTTATTACAGAAAGTTTAGTTTCAGGCAGTATATTTGAGAGTGCCGGTTCTTTAATCACTTGCCTTAGGACCACTTACTCTTACAATGAGTATTCTAGGCGCAGCTGGTGGTCAGTTGGGTAAGCACCCGACTCTCGGTTTTGGCTCAGGTCATGATCTCACCATTACTGGGATGAGGCTCTGTCCGCGCAGAGCCTGCTTGGGATTCTCTCTCTCCCTCTCTCTCTCTCTCTCTGCTCCTCCCCTGCCCGTGCACATGTGCACATGCTCTCTCTTTCTCTCTCTCAAAATAAATAAATAAACATTAAAAGCCCAGACACACCCGAGAACCACTGATGCAATTACACAGTGACGTAGTACATTTGGAGCTTTTTTTTTTTACTGCTTATTCTGATTCCCTACATTTGGATTAAAAGAGGTGTGCACAGATGGCAGGTTAGAGAAATATTATTTTCTGAATCAAAAACAAGAGAAAAATCTAATGTTTTTAGCTGTTATCAATGTATGAACTGCACAGATTTAGTCTGTATAATCTCATGTTTCTCTGTCAAAAATCATTTCAAGTATGTATTTCCATTTAATCTTATTCTAGCTTCATTGTATACCTACGGATTTCTAAAATGTTTAGGCCAATATTTTTCTTTATTTTTTCCTGCCTCTGAAAACTCTAGGTCTAAAGTGTTTATTTACTTAAACAAATTCAGGAAGAAAGTTGCATAATAATATATTTTTTATGTTTTGGAAAAACCCTGAAGAAATTCACTGAAACTGGTTACTGGTAAAATGCCCAGCGTCTCACACAATGTTACCCACCCACCAGGAAGCCACACTCTACTTCCTTACTGTTGGTCTAAGGGAGGAGCAAAGGTTCAGCCTTATTAAGTCTGATAACTTTGGGCAAAGCACTTTGTAATTCTGCGGGCACACAACACTTGTCTCCAACTCAAAATATGTTTGTTTAGGCCCAATTAAAACTGGGCTCTCTATGACCCTGACTGTGTGAAGGAAATTACTGATTGTTACTTACCTGATTTACTATGAATAAATGTAGGTCCTGTCATTGAAATAAATAATAAATATTTATTATTTCCCTTGGCTTGTCACAGAAAAAGGTAGGAAGCATTTAGATGAGCCTGGTTTAGGAATTGCTCATTTCTCAAAAAACAATAACAGAAAAATCCAATTGCTTAAGATAAAATTCAGTAAATCTAAGTTGATGTATTGTAGAGCATTCTAGTTTATGGATTGGCATTAAAAGCTTCTCTACGGTTTCTGGTTTGTCCTCATTCTTTATCTTTTCATTAGTGGTGGAGATTGTACTTTATGTGTACTTGGGGCTTAATCTCTATGCAGGCACCTCAGATAACATTTTAAAAATCCTGAATGGTATGATGTCATATGGGGTGTATATAAGAGAAACCCTTCAGTCATGGAACCTTTTCTCTATATATATTAAAAAGGAACTTAAAAAATTTTTTTAATGTTTACTTATTTTTGAGACAGAGAGAGAGAGAGAGAGCACAAGTGGGGAGGGCAGAGAGGGAGACACAGAATATGAGGCAGGCTCCAGGCCCTGGGCTGTCAGCACAGAGTCTGATGCAGGGCTTGAGCTCCTAAATCAGGAGATCATGACCTGAGCCGAAGTCAGACACTTAACCAACTG